GTCTGACCCAAATGAGCTACAGTTATGTCAACGGCAAAATGAAGGGGAGGTTACTGTTTATACTAAAAACTACAGTGCAGTGGAACAGGGATCAGTAACTAGTACAGTTTATATTTAAATCGAAGAGCGAGCAAATAATGGTTGGGAAAAAATTGGAAAACAAATCCAAGTGATTCGTGAAACTATCACTAAATGGGAATATCTAATTGGACATTTTTTCGTATGTCGCCTGTGTATTATGACGTCACAATAAACTTCCCATGATCACTATGAAAATACCTACGTCTGTATGTATTGTTTTGTTATGTATTTGTATTGCAATGAAACAAATGCTTTAAACAAACATTAAATTCTCCGTATATTAAATATATTCTAGTTTAATTACTGAAGAAATTAATAAATCACCTGTTATAGGTAATTGCTATTGTAATTACTACTGGTCATAAATACTGGTGGAATCACTACCAGTTACAGTTACTAGTGCAATTTCTTCTAGTAATACTTATTCTAACACGATTCGTTTGCAACGCGTGTTTTGATTGGATACGGACCATGTTCTAATCTGCGATAGAATCATGATCAATCGTGTAAAGGTCCTCCCATCGCACGTAAGCCACGCCCCGTTTCTAACCAAAACAATATGGCGTCAAGCTAGCCTCTTAGCGAAATCCCGCTGATAAGGCTAGCAGGCAACATAACAGAAACGACCGATGAAATGTATTTGTTCAATGAATTAAAAAGGAAAAAGGAAACATTCCTTGTTCTTACTTCCATTTATTAGTGAAACGTTCATTCCATCCGTGATAACACCACTAGAAATATCATAACCTCGTGTCAAGAAACTACTGCATAGCATAAACCACATAAGGCAAGTGGCCCAGCTAACATCAGTGGCAGAATATTAAAAGAACTCAAAGATCAAACACCTCCGATTCTTACACTAATCTTTAAAACATCACTTGAAACTGGCAAAACACCAACAGATTGGAAACATGCAAATGTAGCACCAGTATTCAAAAAATGGGAACAATACAACCCAGAAAACTACCGCTCGATATCATTGACATGTATTTCTTGTAAACTTATTGAACATATCATCACCAAACACATCATAAACCATCTTGAAAAGAACAATATGCTGTATGACCTCCAGCATGGCTTCCGTCAAGCTAGATCCTGTGAAACGCAACTAATGTCATTCATTCAAGAACTCGCAGCAAATAATAACAGCAACACACAAACAGACTTAATTAAGTTTGACTTTGCCAAAGCCTTTGACAAAGTTCCTCATAAAATATTGCTCTATAAATTAAACTTCTACGGTATCAAAAACGAAACACTAAACTGGGTCTCTGCCTTCTTAAGTAACAGAACACAAACAGTTGTCCTGGATGGAGAGTCATCTGACCTGGCTCCAGTCACCTCAGGTGCCCCTCAAGGCACAGTTCTGGGTCCAGTATTATTCTTGGTATACATTAATGATCTACCAGAATTCTTATTATCCAGTAAGCTCGATGACAGTATCATCTACAAAACCATCAAAACCCAAAGTGACTGTGATGCACTACAGTTGGATTTAGATGCAGCTGCTAGGTGGGAGCAAGACTGGTTGATGGCTTTACATCCAGACAAATACACAGTCATTACAGTCTCACAAAAGAAAAAAACCCAGTTTAAACATGACTATATCTCCCACAATCACAAACTTGAACTGGTCTCTTCAGCTAAATATCTGGGCCTTACACTACAAGCAAACTTAAAATGGTCAAAACATACAGACAACAATATAGCTAATGGCAACAAATCTTTAGGCTTCCAAGAACGAAATTTAAAAATATCATGTAAGAACATCAAGACTCAGGCATATCTGGCGCTAGTTCGACCAAAACTGGAATATTCATGTACAGTATGGGACCCTCACATTTGAACAAACTTCTAAAATCGAGATGGTCGTACGACGAGCTACCAGATATGTCTGTAACAAGTACCATAACATCAGTAGTCCTACATATATGATAAATTCATTAAACTGGGCACACTACAAGAAAGAAGATTAATAATGTTCTACAAAATAGTCTATCAAACCGCAGCAATCCCATATGCTATTCTCATACCATCAGACAGTAGAACCCGCAAAAATCATAATTTCACTTTCAGACACATTTCAACCAAAAAAGATTCATATAAATTTTCATTTTTTCCTTATACCATAACTCAATTGAATTTATTACCAATCCATTCAGTCACTGTCACAACAGTCGACACTTTCAGAAAACAGCTCACACCAGCTGTTCTCCACAAATGATAACCTAAAGAAGAAGAAGAAGATCTGTGTGAAGGCATTTAGTTAGATCCGAAATCAAATGAAACATTTCACATGTGTCGTATGAATTTACAAAAAAAAAACTCTTCACAAATCTATACAAACTGAAACAATCACCGATTTTGTCAATAAGCACAGATTGGTATGCATACTGACATGGACATGTAATAATTTGGTCAATATTAATCCAAATGTGTCGTATAAACTTTGGTAACAGGATGTTCACGAACAATCCAAATATTCCGCCTCGTCAACATACAGGTCGAGCGCTCGCCATTATGGGCGGAGCCAATGCAAATGACCGACTTTTGAAAGCTTCTTTCCGATTGGTCAGTCCGTTGCATAATGACACGTCGCAATTTCAGGTCACAAACTATTTTACTATGTACTTTTGTACAAAGAAGTACAATGTTTCTAAAGATATTAGCGTAATATATGTGTTAAGGTGTGTTAGAATGGAGATAGTACGTTGTTTTTCGTGTCTATACTGGCGATTAGAACATGAGATTTGGTTTAAACTCTCGACCTATCGGTCTCGAGTTCAAACCAAATACCATGTTCTATTCGCCAGTATAGCCACTCAAAACAACGTACTATCCACTAAATAGTACTTACTTTTAGTGTTCATTATAAGTGTAGTTACTCCTTGTTCACGGACTAGTGCAGTAACTTCAAGTTTAATTTACTACCTTTTATGCTAGAATTCTCCACCTCTGCAAGTAGGGGATCGGGAAAAGATTACACCTGCTTTTATTCAGTTCATGTATCGTAGGCTACAAATGTCAGGACCCCCTGCAGAATTGAAACAAAACGAAACAAAACAACAATTCGCATTTACTAGTGTAGCTTCTACAACGGTTACTGTTACATTGTAATTACTTGTAGTATAGTTTTGTAGGTAAACTCAAGTACTGTAGTTCATATACGGACGGTGTGTATATCGATGTCACAGTGCATACCTAAGTGTATATACTGTATGTATCACCCTCCTCTGCTGACCTAGCGCACATAAACTAAGTAAAACATTAACGCATCCTTTAATACACATACACTTGTTGATTTAACAAGTGTATGTGTATTAAAGATTGACCGCACGCTTTGACCTCAGAGGTTTGTATATATATCAACATTGTTTGGGTTAAACATGATCCATGTCGACTAACGCTTTGATAGGCAATGGTATTGAATTGACGTTTATATCAGCAGAATAATCTGAACTTCCTGGTCACATTCGGCTACTGGCATTGTTTCATATACACCTATTTTAAGAGCTTGCGAACTAACCTGGCCGGTATTCAATACTGTGACTGAGCTTGACAAAGGGACCAGGAAGTCCTGAAACGTTGAAACCCGTTTTAATATTACGCAGTTTCTCACTAATCTTGCATGGACATTTAAACAATTACCATATTCATTGCTTTTATCATAAAGAAACGACGATATGAATACAAGTTTGGAAAGAATGTTTTACAATTTTTGATTTTGGAATAGTTAATCGGAGATTGTGTTGTAGCAACGTGTATCTAAACTGCAAAATAAATTAAACTCTTAATAATTGAAAAAAATACTATGTCTTCTAACATAATTATCATGTTGTCAAACTGACTTGTCGCTTATAACGGGATACCGATATAATGTTCGTCTACTTGTCAAGCATATCGACCATATTAAACGCTTATATAACAGATAATTAACTTTACTACCGTACAATTTTAAAAGAAACCGAAAGGCTAATATTTCTGGTACTGATAATACATCTTAATTCTGTTAACACGTTTTATAATGAACTCATCAGCATGCAATAGCATACTGTGGTTAAAACGTTAACCCATTGTCGCGAAAAATGCAGGTCTTGACTGATAACTGTTACTGCATATGTTAATGTACTATAAAGATATTGCCCAGCCGCTGGTGTCATTCCTTTAAACTTAATAAAAATGCCCCGGTCATATATCGATCTTATGCAAGAGATATAAACAAGTGTGGTAAATTGGTTTAACGGGGGAAATCTTGGCAATATTTACACCAAGATCGGATTTTTGAATCCCTTAAATTGTGGGAAGTTTCAGATCATTTGTAAAATTAAAATTAAAATTTTGTAATATCTCAGATTAAGTGCTGGAGCAAGATAATTGTCTTGCTACCTAATGTATAATGCTGATTTGTATATAACGTCTGCTGAAAACCCGAACTACTCGGTAGCGAAGCGGGCGTCAAACCACTCAAACAAACATATCATTATTGAACAAAAAAGGATCAATTATCTTTTACTTATAACTGCATATTGGATAACCAACGGTAAACACGTTCGAAAAATATCTCTTAACAAGTCATGCATTGCTATTACAGGTAGGAATAACATGCTGATAGACATGGTACACGCACATTGATAAATCGATAAGACACCTTTGATGAAATGTGGTCTGCAGTGTCAACAGAGCTTGATATGCGGATATGTGAACATCTGCATTCAAAAGTACAATCGTGATCAATCAAAATATTAATATTCGCACATACAATCCTACTGAATTGTGTCGCATATACTACTTGCCTAAATTGATCCCTGATAAAAAAAATGATATGATAATATAAAAGGGGTGTAATCTAACAATGCTTTCGACATGAACCTGCACCCGCGTTACCCGTAATGTGATAACCACAGTATGTGTGACGACATGCTCGCACAGGCAGTGGCACTGGTTCAGTGTACAGCTAGAAGTGATTACATATGTGTTGTGCACGTCTATTAAGTTATCTAGTTATTTTAGGCACATCTTTGAACATATGAATGACCTTTTATACGGAGAAAGGAATCAACAAAGAAGAAGAGGACGCAGTTTAAGGAGAAGAGGTCATCAAAAAAAACAGAAAAGGATGTAATGGCTCATTTTTCTAATTTTGTAATATGTCAATAGGGAAATGCAAAGGAAAACACATGTACTTTTTCGACGACACGGATTTTATGAAAAAATAAGATATGTGTTCCAAGGCCGTGTTTGCAAGTTAGAGAAGACATCTGAAATACCGGATAGGATGGTATGTATTGCTTTAACTGTTCAACAAAAGGAGATTTTCATGTCAGCGACGTCTAATGCGCCGATAAGAAATTTGCAGAATTGTCTCCATTCAGTGAGATTAAACATTTCATCCCTATTGGGATATTTATTTTTTATCTTGCACATTTGACCCTGTCATTAAAGGGGCATCACGCTGAAGTAACTTTTTTTTGGTCTTTTTTCCAAATACTACATAAACATATCAAGTGAGACTCCTTATGGAAAATGCCGATCGGATTTGGCTGAAATAGATTCATAAAAATGATTAAATCTAAGATAATCATCGGTATTTCTACCTGTCTGACCAACGTTTTGTTCAGGGATTTCCCTCTACTAGCGCATGCGCATAGCACACCATTTCTTTGTAAACAAAATGACTGGCCGTGTGAAGTAAGCCAAAGAAAAGTGTTGTACCGTGTCAGCTACGAAGCGAATAGTTGCCAAATGGTCAAAAGATAGCGCAAGGGGTACGTTACGGAATCATTATTGCCAGTGGGAAGTATTCAAAGCAGAAAATAACTGCCCTAGCAGTCAGTACGGTGCATGTTTTCTTCCGGATAGCGGCCGGTTAAGCTGAAATAAAATCGACAGAAATGCTAGCGCTGTTTATGTTATGAATAAATATCTAAAACTATTAACCTCGCTAGTATCATTGTGTGAGTTTGAACACAGATGAACTTAGTTTAATATGTTAATGGGCATGTATCGGAGAGAGTTTACTTTGTGTTTTTT